AACCGTTGCCCACCTGCAGTGGTTTGGACCTTCCTGGTGAGCCCCCATGGGGTTGGCAGACACATCAGCAAAGCCCTAGGCCTGTGTAAGGTCTGGTCTGAAGGTGGCTTCTTGGACACATTTTGCCAATTTTTATTCCCAGGGTCCCACCTCTTAAATGCATCTGCATTTGTGCTCTTCTTCTCCACATGCTGACTTGAACTGGGCTCCGCGTCCCTCACACTGTCAATAGTAATGTCAGGATGCCACCGGGGGTTGCCCGATGGTGCTCACATGGGCAAGGAGTGGAGGATTTGGTCCTCTTGAGCAGGTGAAGAGGATGTGGGCACATGTAGGCTCCCACTGGACAGCTGATGCTGGCTTTCAAAGAACCGGAATCCTGATGGCCGTCTAGTTTACTCAGAACTGGCTAGTGCTGACATCTGTAAGATGTCACAGAATCCAAAGAGTTGCCAACAGTAGAAGAAAGGACAGCTCTTCCTTAGCATCACCTGCTCCTTCAACATCTTTTTAACGTTTATTTTATCTGAGAGACCCTCCAGTATTGAATATTCTCATTAGTCTTGTGAATGCCTTTCCTATTTTTTTGTGAAACTTGAATCTGGAAATTGCAGTTAATGGAAACCAGAAACTCGTTGCTTTCCCCTCTCACACTCACATCTCTCCTCTGTATTTTTATGTATCTATTGAGGGTTTAGGGTCATGCCTGACAGTGCTCACGACTTACTCCTGGATCTGTGCTCAAGGATCATCCTGGTGGGCTCAGGGACTAAATGGGTTGCCAGGGGTCGGTCTTTGGGCATGCTGTGTGCAGGCAAGCACCTAGCCTGTGTGCTCTCTCTCCAGTCCCGTGGTCCTGCGCTTTGCACCACAAGGCTCACAAGCAAGCAAGTTCATCGTCTCCATAGTATTTCTGAAATGATCCAAATAGGATTATCAGCGTTAGCAAATAAAAATACAGGCTGACCACTTGAATTTGAGTTTCAGGTAAATATTGAATAGGACATGCTATGAAAAGGAAAAAAAAAACCAAGGGGCTGGAGAGATAGTCCCAGAGATAAGGCATTTGCCTCTCATGCAGCCAGTTCTGCTTTGACCCCTGACACTGCATATGGTCCCTGAGCCCTTCCAGGAGTGATCCCAGAGTACAGAGCCATGAGTAAGCCCTGAGCATAGCATAAAACAAAACAGCAAAACTTTTCTTTATCTAAAATTCAAATTACAGTTGGCATCTGTTTACTCCAGAGCATGAATCCCTACTTACTGTTCTGCTCAGTTGAGACAAACATGGCCAGAGAGAGCACAGGGCGAAAGCACTTATGTTCCATGCGGCCAATCCTGATTTAATCCCTGGCACTGCTTTTGGCTCCTGGGGAACCATCAGGAGTGACCGACCCCTGAACTAGGATGAAGCTCTGAGCACCACCATGTGTGGCCCAAAAACCAAACCGAGAGAAAGAAAACAGGATGGGGCGAAATCAAGCTATGCTGTGTAGTAGTTAATGGTGTTTGCATGTCCATGTTGCACACGATCAGCTTTGAAGGTTCTTTCATGGATGCTCTTTACCGACCATGGTGGGTGGCTATAGTTTCCATGTGGCCAGGTTTGCTACAGCTGGACGGCCCTCCAGGGGCTGCCTGTGTGATACTCAGAGTGCACCCTTTCCGTATCTCTGTATTTGCATGTTTAGGACAATTGTGCCTGAGCAGAACCGGTTCTGTGCATCAGCTCTGATCCCTGGAAGAGCCGAGCTGACATTAATTAAATTAAATTAATTTATTAAATCACTTAATCACTTAACTTCCCGTTAGTCGTCGATTTGCTCGAGCGGGCGCCAGTAACGTCTCCATTTGTCCCTGCCGCGTGCTAGTGTAGCCCAATGGCATCTGTTCGCTCCGGGAACATGAAGGGCCTCAAACCGATCGTTCATGATCTTCAGGAAGAAGTCTGACCATCTGGTAGGTGGGCGGCCACGCGGTCTCTTGACATCCCGTGGAATCCAATCCAAATTAATTTATTAACTAAATTAAAAGGACACTTTTGTTTTCCTTTTCTTTCGATCTCCGGGTTTTAAAAACCACTGAGATGATTCCATTATTTTTGGCATTTTTTCAGCAACTGTGTTTGATTAGAGTGTCGAATTTCCAGCATGTGGAAGGTGGATAGGCCTTATTTTCTATGGCAAATCGTCAGAAGTAATATTTTATCAGCAGAAATCAATTAACGTGATTGCTTTCATTCATATCTTGTTTACAATACTGTCACTGAAATCCGACCATAGTGATTGAGGGTGTGGAAATGTTTTTTATTTTTACCTTCAGACTGACCAACACATTTACTCTCTCATGAAGTATTTCGGGAAATCATGCTAACCAGTACTGTTATTTTTGTTTGTTTGGGGGCTACACTCAGCAGTACTCAGGGATTCTGAGCTCAAGGATCACTCCTGGAGGTGTTTGGGGGACTTTATAGGGTGCCAGTGATCAATCCCGAGACGGCCGTGTGCAAGACCAGTGCCCTGCCCTTTATACTTTCTCCCTGGCCTCTACTCAGGGCTCTTTGAATAAATATACTGATGATGGCATCTCCCCTCCTGCCTTTCTGCCTTCCTGCCTCCCTCCCTTCTTTCCTCCCTTTATCACTTCTTGCTCTGTTCTATCACTTCCATTTCCTTCCTCCTTCTTTACCTAATTTGTACATTTTCTTACCCAGCACAGGTGTATTAATACCCATTAAAATCAACGTATAAATATTATACTCATTCAGTACAAAGAAGCAAAGCCAGCCTGGGAGAGGAAGCAGGGACCTGGACATCCCTGGAGTCCCGCAAAGCAGGGGGACCAGTGAGAGGCCAGGAACCTTGTCCCCAGGGGAGAACACCCGCCTGGCTTTGCTGCAGGGGCCATAGAGAAGACCCCTGGCTGTTAAGGCAAGGACATGGGGACAGCCAGAGTCCCAGAAAGGGGGCTAGGAGTCCACTTCCAGTGGGGTAAGGGTCCTTCCCAGCCCTTGCAGCTCCACACGGGAGAAAGATGAGGGTTGCTAAGCGAGCGAGGGTGCAGTCAGCATTGCCCCTGAGTGATGCCGTGCTGTGATGGGCACCGGGCAGTGTGCTCAGCTGTGCAGAGCTGAGAGCAAAGCCAGTGCTCTGAAGGAACGCAGCAGGAAAAGGCTGACCAGTGGTGCAGGAGCAGGGAGAGCCCGGGCCCGGCTGTTGTCCATGATGTGCCGGGGGGCAGTCTCCCCTTGAGGGAACACATGGGGATGGCAGGGGGTACCCAGACCCTTGCTCCACTCAGCAATCAGGAGCTCCCCCCCCCCACCTCCAGGCACCTCACGGAGGCAGGTAGCAGCTGTACAGAAATCGGCCTTGGAAAGTTTTGATTGATGATGGCCATTTGTCTGCAATCAAATTATTCAAGATCTTCTCAGTTGTGTTTGCTTTCCCCTGGCAATGCTTAAAAATTTGAAATGCCTGTTGACGTCTGCTCTGTTATTAACTGGGGCAGCTCTCTTCGAGTAAAATCCACCCAAGAAATGAGGAAATGAGCAGCAGGGGTCTCGGTTGGGATGTGCTGGCCTGTCGTGGCGTCTGACCCGGGATGCCTGTGAAACTCCCACGCGGGAAGCAGTGCGGGCTCACGACTCTCCATCTGTGGCTCCATCTGCCGCACCCCGCCCAGCGTGCCTGAAAATGGAGCTTTGTCCCAAGAGAATCTGTCACTTCATTTGTCACACTGGCCTGCTGTCCGCTGGTGGTGGCCGTCCCTGCCTGCCCCCTCCTAACTTGGCCGCTGAGGACGATTCCTGCCCCCACAGAAGACAAATGTACTCTCTTCCCTCAAAAATAAGTTCCCACCAAGATGCCGTGATTTCTTTGATGCTTGAACAACGAACAAAGTAAAAAGTGAAATTAAGCAATGGTGTGCAGACAGCATACGTTAGGAGTTTAGTTCAGCATCAATCAATATTCACCAGAGACGCTCTAAGTATACATTTTAACAAGTTCAAGATGGCATATGGCTTCGTGTCTTTTCCTCTTTAAATATAATCATCTTATGTCTCTGAGGACTGCCTTACAAAGGGAAAACAAGGACACTTTGTCTGAGCCAAGGCTGCCAAGATCGGTTATCTCAGGAGGCCCCGAAACCAAGGCTCTTGGTTTTTCTTCCTTCTGTTTTTTGCAGAACCTCCTAATCATTCCAGTTTTCTCATCTTTTTTTTTTCTTCGTTTTGGGTCACACTTGGAGATGTACAGGAGTTATTCCTGTCTCTGCACTCAGGAATTACTCCTGGTGGTGCTCGGGGGACCATATGGGATGCTGGGAATCTAATCTGTGTCAGCTGCATGCAAGGCAAATGCCCTACCCACTGTACTATCACTCCAGCCCGTTTTCTCATCTTGTAAGTTGAGACTTGCCATGTTGAGAAACTCCGGATCCTGGTGAGTTTTATCTATTCCACATCCTCAGGGTGCCGGAGAGATCTCAGGGGCATCAGAGAGCCTTGTGGGGGGAGGGATTGGTTGTGTGCCTTGACTCTGCAGGATGAAACTGGAGGGCTGGCCAGTGCCCCAGGGAACGGGCGTGCTGTAAGTGTGCATCTTTGGCATCGGGGGTCCTGATGCTCCCTGTGTATTTAGTGCCGGGGTGGCAAAGCCAGAATCGATGTGAGCAGAATTGGGGGACTGGGAACAAAAATCATTTATCAGGGGGCAAGGGTGGGAGGAAGAGGGGAGACAGGAAGGGCAGCTGCAGGCTCGCTGTGCTACATCTCTGCACTGGGCCTGCCCGGGGTTCTGTCCAGCAGCGACCACAGACCTGGCACCTCTCTCTCTCTGTGTCGGGGTGGCACAGAACTGGCTGCCTCACCCGGGAAGCTCTCCTGTCCTGGATTCTCCACCGAGAGCCATCGTGGAGACCCCCCTGGGTTCTAGGAGAGCCCCACCTGGCCAGTGAGACTCACCCCTGCTCTCCTCCCTGGCCTCTTGCCTCCGCAGATCATGGGACCATTAAGAAGGTGCGGGCACCACTGTCGCCGACGTCGGGTAGCTGTCTGCTGGAGGAGGTGGAGCTGTTCCCCGCGCGGCGGCCTGAACCCGTGCGCAGCCTGCAGATACTGCACAGCCAGAGCGTCCTCTTCGTGGGTCTCCACGAGCACGTCGCCCGGCTCCCACTCAGGCGCTGCCAGTTCCACCGCACACGCAGGTATGGCCTGAACAGGGGGCTCCGGGGATAGGTGGGGGGCACCAGTGGCCAAGGGTAGCAGGGCGCGGAGCCACGGGCTATCAGAGCTCTGCAGCCAAGCGTTCTCCCTCCTCGGGGGTTGCAACCTTTGTCCAAGAGTGCAGTTTCCACCCAACTGATGGGCAGTGGTGAAAACTGCCCGCCCATGTCCTAGGAGGAACCACGGTACAACCCCTGTAGGGACTGACGGGGCTGAAAGAAATACTCTGGTGCAGGTATTCACCAGGATGCTCACCCCTGACACCACCTACTGCCCTCCAGTGTCCCTGCATTGTTGTGGTGCTGGGTTGCTTTGTTCGGATGATGTATCTGTGTTTATGCGTGTATGCACGCATAGAGAGTTGATTCATAGACAAGCATAAAGGGCTCATCAGGCAGAGAATGACAGGGACAGTGCATCCACCCAGCCCAAACCAAATCCTTTGCAGTGTCCTGGGGTCCCATCCTGGACACAGCTCATGCACCTGCAGAATCCTCCAGGAAGGAGGGTTGGTTGGGAGGAGACTCCCATAGACACGGGGAAACCAGGACCCTCATGTCTCCCAAACCCCTGATCGGACTTCTCGGCTGCCTTGGGGTGTCCAGCACTGACCCCAAGAGAGCTCGAAGGTCACAGTGGAAAGTGCACACCCATGGTTGGAAAGGGACAATACTTAGTCTTTTTTTTTTCTTTTTGGGTCACACCCGGCGATGCTATAGGGGTTACTATTCTGGTGGTGGTGCTCAGGGGACCCTATGGGATGCTGGGAATCGAACCCATGTTGGCTCTGTGCAAGGCAAATGCCCTCCCGGCTGTGCTCTCACTCCAGCCCCTAGGGCAGTACTTAGTCTTCAGACCCATTTGGCCTCCGGCCCCTTTACAGAGAATAATAACGATAGAATAGTCCTGGGACTCCACCTGCCTAAGAGAGTGAGCAGCAGGAAGTCTGCCCTGCGCACAAGGCTGTGCTCTCTCTCCCTGAATCACCCTGGGCGCCACAGGGCAGGAGTCACACCATGCACTCGGAGACCACTTCAGGTTTGGGGTCAGGCTTCAGAGCTCTGGCCCCTGGCCAGAGCCTCCAAAAATCCCGTTCACAAATGTCCTTGGCATTTGTGTCCCGATTTTCTTCATCCCCCCAGCAAGGCTGGTCAGGTTTGGTGAGGATGGGACGTTGGCACGGGTCACCCACAGGCACACCCACCGTCACGCCATCAAACTAGGTAGCTTTGGGACCCGGAAGCTAAATCACATGACTGACTTCCCAGACTATTTCTTTTTAATTTTGGGGGGAGTGGGGTCCCAGACAGTGCTCAGAGGTCCCACCACTGGGTTCAGGCCAAGCTGGCCTACAGGGGAGTGCCAGGAGCCAAGGGGCTGATAGTACTTGGGGCCCAGGGCCTTGGGCTGCCCCTGGAGACTCTCAGTGGCCTCTGGAACCTGGGTGTCACCTCAGGTCAGCACACTCTGTCCTGCCTCCTCCCTGGCTATTCCTTGGTCTGATCCCTTAAGTACTTTAGGCCTCACTTTCTCACCTGATGCACAGAGAACCAAAGGGCTAAGACTCCACTGGGTACCTGACGAGAGCCTCCCGTCACGGTACTCCTGGGACCATGAATGATATTTATTTGTGCTGTCATTCATGGGAAGGCTTTTCTTTACTTTGCATTGTGGCCTACTTAGCTTTCATTCTGATTCGTGTTCCCTGCAGGACCAACCTGGGGGTGAGGGGTGGGGAAGTCTTCTCCCCACAGTGGGCTCAGAGGGGACAGACAGTCTTGGACCTTACCCAAAGACTTGTCACCAGCTGGGATGAAGCTACAGGAGCACTTCCATGTCCTCCAGCTAACAGCAGCACCCACTCACCTCCCAAAGCTTTGATCCCCGGCACCCCATATGGTCCCCTGGGCATCACCAAAAGTAATCCCTGAGTGCAGAGCTGGGAATAAGCATTAGCAATGCCGGGTGTGGCCCAAAAAGAAGAAAGGAAAAAAAAAAGAATTCCCAGATACATTAAGAACAATGGCCAGGATTGTTACACAGCTGTGACCACAGGTGGTCAGCTATCTGTCAGCAAGTGTCCTTCAATGTGGAAGCAACAGCATCCGTTCCAGTGGGAGTTTCCTGCTTGGGTGCACCTTTGTACCCCTCAGTATCCAACCTAAGCTAGACTTGTTTACCCAGGGCCTCCTCGGGGTTTTTATCACCTGGTGGACTTCCCGTAGAGGGAGCTGTCAGAGGACTCGGGCTGGAATGCTTAGGCACCCATCACACTACTCTGCCTCCTGCTCCCAGGGAGATTGTCCCACCTTCCAACCTGGGTGACAGCTGCTCAGTCTCAGGACCAGAGTCATCAGGTGGAGATGGAGTAGGAAGCTCCTCCAAAAGATTTTGGTTTTTAGGGGGCCACACCCAGGAGTGCTCAGGGCTTACTCTTTTGACCCCATGTTCAGGGATCACTCCTGTTGGAGCTCAGGGACTTTATTTGGTGCAGGGATAGAACCCCGGTGGGTTGCATGCAAGGCAAACAGTATACTGTGTCTCCTGCCTCTAATAGGATTCCTTAAGTCATTATTCAGATGATTGTTTTTCTAACAGTTGAAAAAGGAAGTCCCAGTTCTCTGGTATGGATCCACCCTTGAAAGAAGAGTGATAAGATCAACTGAAAGCTCTTGGGTTCTAGATGTTTACTTTATTTCCTTTTTAAAAAAAACTGATTGAGAAGAGCTGGTCGCTAGAAGGATCATAGCCTAAAATTTTATTTGTATTGCATTTGTAGTTTTGCTTCATTAAAGCTCGAGGAAAAGATGGAATCATTTAGAAAAAGACTGTTTCTAATTGTGAAATTTTTCTGGTTATTCTTAATCCTCTTACCCTGGAATAGTGTCATTTAGATAAATAGATTAGCAGCTCATTAAGAAAATTAATATGGAAATTAGGTTCCTGCAAGACATTTATTATTTGAAAGGGCAAAGTTTTCAAAGGTTCAGTTAAGAGGTTGGCACCTTTATTAATTAAATACTCTCTGAAGACAGCGTCTGCTTGATAAAAAAAAAAAAGTAAGCAATGTACTGAGAGAAATTCCAGGACCTCTACAACACAGCACAGCGGGTAGGGCGTTTGCCTTACACGCAGCCAACATGGCCAACCCGAGTTCGATTCCTCCACCCCTCTCGGAGAGCCCGGCAAGCTACCGAGAGTATTTGATATGCCAGACACAGTAACAACAAAGTCTCCAATGGAGACGTTACTGGGCCCGCTCGAGCAAATCGATGATCAACGGGAGGGCCTTTACTTTACTTTACTTTAGGGCTGGAGCGATAGCACAGCGGTAGGGCGTCTGCCTTGCACGCAGCCAACATGGCCGACCCGAGTTCGATTCCTCCGCCCCTCTCGGAGAGCCCGGCAAGCTACCGAGAGTATTCGATATGCCAGACACAGTAACAACAAAGTCTCCAATGGAGACGTTACTGGGCCCGCTCGAGCAAATCGACGATCAACGGGAGGGCCTTTACTTTACTTACTTTACTTTACTACAACACTGCAGGCAGGAGGTCATTTGCCATTAGGCAAGATCAAAGAACCAAGCAGAAGAATGCTTTGATATGCACCCATTTACAAAGTAAATAGTCAACTTTCTCAATCTCCATAATCTCCATGCTTGGTTTTGTTTGCATTGGCTCTGGTATAACCTCTAAATACTGAGGGTGTTCCTTAGTGGTTTAATTTGTTGTATACTTAATGAACATTCTTTGTGCCACTCAGTCTACTGAGAAATGTTGGCATAAATGGATCTTACAAAGATTCACAGTGAGATGCCTCAGAGTTAGCTTAGACAAAATCAATTATCATTGAAATCTGATTCTGAGCAGCAATTTGACCTAATTTCCACGTTTGACATCACTGCCCAATAATAGATTTTTAATTTTATTTTTTTGGGATAGGGAAACCCACTTAATGATGCTCAGGGCCTATTTCTGGTTCTGTGCTCAGGTGGTTCCTTGGGGAACCATCTGTGGTGCTGGGAATGGAACTGGGGTCAACTGCTTGCAAGTCAAGAGCCTTTGCTCCTGTACCATCTCTCCAGCCTGCTTTTTATACCAACATCTAAATCACAGCCTGTGTTTTTATCTTAAATTTCGAAATCGAAAGGAAACTCATCACCAAGATGAGATAGATACATTTTATATATTAATAATGTTCAGCAGGTTGTTTGAAATCCACTGTGATGACAAAGACGTCCCTATGAGACAGCAGAAGTGGCCAATGTGGCATCAGCCTGGGCAGCTGCAAGACAAGAGAGCGAAGATAGCCTGTGTTTTCCTATGCTCAGTTAGGCTGCAAGAGGGGGCTGTATCAGAGGACTGAGATGGGCTTGTGCAGAGGCAGCATTTCCCTGCACTGTCCCGGACAGGAAGGAAGAGGGAAGGGTGGGAGCCCCAGGTGGAATAAATGAGAGCCAAGTCCCATTGCTGCTGGTGCTGCTGCAATCACTGGGCTCAACTGCCCATTGTGTGGGGTCTGGAGGTTTACGGTTTGAGAGGGGTTTTCAGGAAGGAAATAATATCATCTTATTCATATAAAATAGGCTGTACAAGAATAGCTGAGATCAGCACCAGGAGGATTACTCCATAACTTAGAGGCCAGCCGGGTATCCTAGAGGAAAGGGCAGTTCAGATAGAGAAGGGAGCACCAAATAAAGGATGTTTGGAGGATCCTCCCAGGAGGGGAGATGCATGTCGAAAGTAGACTATGGACTGAACATGTTTGCCACTCAATGCCTCTTTTGCAGACCACAACACCCAAACGGAGAGAGAGAACACAGGGGATTGCCCTGCCACAGAGACAGGGGGGATGGGGGGATGGGGGTGGGAGGGATATTATCCATGGTGGTGGAAAATGGGCACTGGTGGAGGGATGGGTATCTGATCATTGTATAATTGAAACCAAAGCACAAAAAATTGTAAATCTACAACTTTAA